TTATATTATATTATTTGGTACTTGTAGTAGTTGTTGATGTTGTTTAAATGGTTCGGATGTGCTTGGTGTCCATTTCTGTGTTTTCATTTCTCGGTGGTGTTCGATCGTTCGATTTCCGATACATGTATATACATATATACATATTTTATTTTAATATTATTCCATTTCGTTGTTCCACTCGTTTTTTTAAATTTATTTCTATACTCGTTCGTTCGGTTTCATTTTATCGATTTCACTGGCACTGCTTTTTTTTGTCTCTATCGGTGAACCCGTGAACCACCAGAAAAATTGAAAACCACCGGCTGGGACTAACTTCGGGGAACACACACAGGGTAAAATACCACCAAAAAGAGTACAGACAGACACATAACAGTCAATTAAGTGGCGGGGGAGTGAGTGGTAGTGTGCTTTATATATATATATATATTTTTTATGATGGATATTGTTTCTTCGCCTTTCGTTTCTTTGACTTTTCTCATCCCATGAACACTGTGGGAACACTGTACTTTCCTTAAAAAATGTTTCACCCTTACGTTAGAACCATTTTCTACGATGTACTTCTATTGTTTCTCTTAATATATGGAAGCCTGTCGTAAAGTCGTCAGAAAAATTCGGTGAAGCTTCGACGGATCGTTTCGTTATTCCGTTGGAAAAATTAGCTATTTTCTTGGAAAATGTAATATTCGAACTAAAACTAACGTTTGAAATTATTATTCATTACTGTATTAACCTCCGAGTGAATACCATTAAAATAAGAAAAGTAAAAAGTAATTTTCTTTTGATCAAAAAACTTTGATAAACTAAATGGTTGAACGAAGCAAAACAAATTCTGAATAAAATAAACCTTACTCGGTACCGTGTGCTGATCAATTCAATAATGTAAATTAAGGGTTAATGGTGAAGCTTTCTCATCCGGCGTAGTCTCGCGTTGTTGATTGTTCTGTGGTGTCGCTGTCTGTTGATCGTGTTGCTCTGACGCTGGTCTCACGGCTCGTTGAGGATTCACGAATCACCTTTCGCCTTTTGTCTTTCTCCCCGCATTTCTTCCCCCTTATATATTTCCCCTTTTCGTCTTCGGTTCTTTGTCCCCGCGTGCACGCGATTGTCAATTAACACGTTCGCTACCAGCGCTTATTTCGGTAACGGTCTCCTCAGTTATAATATTTTCTTCAATCCAATAAATCTTCGAAACAAAATATTAGAAAAATAAAATTGAAGCGGGTCATTGAGATCCTAAATATAATGTAGTTTACAATTTCTAGTAACAATCTCTATAGGATTAATTTCTTTTTTATTGAAATGAGTCATTCAGTTCCCAAATACAATGTAGTTTATAATTTCTAATAACAATATTTATGGTATCAATTTCTTTTTCATTGAAATGAGTTATTGAAATCACAAAACTGAAACGAGTCATTGAGTTTCTAAATAGAATATAGTTTATAATTCCTAATAACAATATTTATGGTATTAATTTCTTCTTCATTGAAATGAGTCATTGAGTTCACAAAACTGAAACGAGTCATTGAGTTCCTAACTATAATATAGTTTATAATTTCTAACAATATCTGTAGGATAAATTTCATTTTCATTATGTAAGATATATAATCACGGCCGTCACAAATATGTGACGCCGCTAGCGAACGTGTTAAACCCTCGGGCCAATTAAATCAGTGATTCGTGAATACACAGCGAGCCACGAAGGACAAGGTTTGTAAAAACGGGGGACGACGGAGCACAGATAGCGACGGTAAGCGACAATTTCGGGCGAGGATCTTTCGTCGGAAACGATATTCCAACTTTCCCGTTACTCCAATTACTCCATTATCCTTTCAATTCGAAACTGAACCTCACAGGTGGACTGCGAATTTCCACGATTCTCTGAGAAACTCGATAGTACCACTGATTTCAAGCTTCTCTGCAACTGAGAAGACAAATCTCAGTTCCTCGAGGAAAGTGACAAAGTAGAAACAGACTTCTATAGTCAGCCGACAGTTTAGTTTGATTCCTCAATTATCTTCCAAAGATAAGTATCGCATAGCAGCAAACTTCCGCAATTAACATTCGTCGAATTAACCCCTTGCCCTACAATATCGTGGCAGACTCGTGGTGAAGATTTCAAATAGAATTTAACAAATATAATATCATTATATTATTTTATTATAGATTATATATCTATTATTCATTGTAATGCTTTTAACCAGTTAACTGTGGAATTTAGTTGGAAAAACCTTTCGTTTTGCGCGCGAGAAAATCGAAAAATGGAGATAGAGTAGAGTATATTTTAATGAAAGATCAAAGCGAAACAAAGAAGAATTACATGTTTATGTGAAAAAATAAAGAATTCATGAAAGAATTATCATGTCAAGCTTTACGATGATGTGTATACTCGTCAAACCCAATTAACTGGTTAAGTAAATGTAGACACGAAACAAGTGTAGAATTTTCCTCCTCTTCTATTGAATCATAAACAATAAAGTATCTCTGTTGAGCGTAATTAAGAAAAAAAGTCATAGGGCAAGTGGTTAATTAAGATATCTTTGTCCTCAATAACTTTAACTAGAATTCGAATTGTTATCAGAGAATTGGAAACCTCCCGAAAGATTCTCGCGAAATTGCGAACAATTGCACGGAATAGTTAATAGACAGGGGACAGATTGTCTGAGAAAGGATTATTTGGTGTCTGGTGATACAGAAACAACGAGAACGGAGATATACACATGTCTGTATACACAGGTACTCGTACACACGTCCTACTAGAAGAAGGTAAGGAACACAGGTGGTCAGAGCGGAAAAACATGAAATAAGTATATATATATATATATATATATATATAGATATAAATATATATGAATATATATATATGTATATAGAGATAGATAGAGATAGATAGACAGAGAGATAGAGAGAGAGACAGAGATAGAGACAACAGTAACACGGAGAACGGTCGCATTTTGTGTGTTGCTTTCTACCTTCAGACTCACTCACACACAAATCTCTTCCACCAACCAGCACGTCTACATGAAGTTCGCTAGACGAGAAAAGAGAAACACATAGAGTTCACACGTTAAATTTTGGTCATCGGTGAGAAATAATCGCGGCCACGTTTTTCGTCTTCTATTCGATCAGAGGGACAGTGTTTGTCCTCGGTAGAGTATCTCTGAAATCTCTTTGAACGTTCGACGTCGATTTTCAAAGTAACATTCGCGAACTTCTGGAGCAGTCGAAACGTCGAAACGGCGGTTGCGGTGCGCGTTTAATTGCTCCTCTGCCCCCAACGTGAAAATGAAAGCTAATCGAGTTAACCTTATTCGGAGAAGGTACGGTTCGCTTCGATCCCCCGGAAAGTTCGAAGTTAGTCGCGTTAACGACGAAACAAAATGACGGGATCCGACGTTCATTAATATAGAGACGCGTGATTCGATTTTAAGATACGATTCGATGGAATCGCGATCGATTAACCGTGGAGTTTGATTCTATGGAAAACGTCGACTTTCGAGTGCTGGTTCGAGTTTGCCCCAGAAATCCGTAGAACTCGATTGAAAAATCGGTGTCGGAATATTCGCCGGATGCTCTCGGCGAGGGAAAATTCTTCGGTTTCATCGTCGAGACGCGAAACTCCCGGAAACGTTCGAAGAATTCCTCGGATATCCCGAGAGGAATCCCACGAGCCCGATTCGAAGCTTATCGGCGACACTTCCGTCGAGTCGTGTGAACCATAGTCTCTTGGCCACGGTGGCCAAGAACTTTCAACGCGGAAATGCAGACTGACAGTGACAGTGGGCCTTGAGCGATCGATTCGTCGCGTTCGGAGAATCAACGAGCGGTTTATTCTCCTGAATTCTCCGTTTTTTCTCTGTTAACCACAGGGAAATTCATAGAACATCTTTATTCAATTGAAACGCAACTTCGACACGCGGAGAACGATAAACGATTCCCCTTCAATACTCCAGAGGCTTGAAACAATATACTCTCTCTTTTCGCAAAATAGAATTCATTTTCATATTTCGCTTATGTTCTAAACGATGGAACCGAAAACTCGAGAATTTTGTTCGATCCCGAAGTGACGAGTCGATCGCTCGAAATCGTGGCGTGGTGTCATCGACCAAATGACACGGAACACTCAGACAATTACAGTGGCGGTGTCGTTAGCTTTCTCAAAGTGCATCTACACCTGTGGCTACTTACCGACGATAATGGCCAATACGATGAGTGCGATGACGCCCATGATGATCATCATCTGCGGAGAACAGAGAACGAGAGTTGTATTGTATATTAAACATTCATTACACCACCGCATTGATGCTTCGATAATTAAAACGAACAAAGGAGAAACAAAGGAATTTCTTACACCGGAAGTTAGTATAGGAAGTTACTTATAGAATGATCTAATACAAAACTCCACGATTGTAATCGTTCGTTCGACAGTACAGATACTTCGCGGAATTGACGAGATTTCGAATCAAATATTTGGTCTCACCTTCAAATTTTGTAGCCAGAACTTCCTCTTCAGTTTTCCCGCCTGCTGTTCGAACTGCGACGCGCCTTGTTGAAGCGCATCTGCAAGGGAAAAGGTAGATCTTAGTCGTAACGAGCTTCGTGTTCCTTGAATCGTCGCTTCACAGAAGCGACCGGAGCTTTCATTAAACGGTTCGACGAACTGTCGATTAATAACGAGCCGGCGGGTAAAAGAAAGTTTTCTTTATTCGGAAAACTCGGGACATCTGAGAGCCGAAAGGGCGAGGACGACGAGGAGCGCGGGACTTCGCCACGTTCGTCTTTTCTAAAGCCGAGCAAATTGGGAGAGACAATTAGGGCGACGCGGTACTTACCTAACGAGTTCTAGCATCCCGGGAGAGCGTATTTTGCGTCTCCTCAAAGAACGTAAGCTACATTCGGAATTATCTTCGGACTTGCCCCGGAGAAAGAGGTTCAAAGGGTCGATGGGATTTTGAAAAATTAAAATGGGGGCATATTAGAAAGCTCGAGAAGAGAATTAAATAGAGTAAGTTGTAAGTAATTTCTATTCGTAAAGCTGTATATTATTAAAATGAGGGAATTTCGATATCTTTCTGATCTATTTGATTTTGAAGCAGTCTGATTTGAGTAAGTCTTTGAGTAAGGGATTCTCCATTGAAAACTCAATCTTCCGGCGAATAGAGTATTATTCATTCGCAACTTTCGGTTTCTCACAAAAATCCAGTGTCTATGCAGCAGAATTCATTCTCATAGAGTTAATGATTTAACACGTTGATTGCCACTAGAGTTTCCAGCGTTTTCTATTATAATTCTTTCATGACAAAGGCAAGTGGTATCAAAAATAATGAATGATTTGGTACTACAGTGCTCATATTACGTTGCTATCCAGCTACTTATATCAAAATTGCTCGATAACAATTGCAATAAGAAAATCGATGTCAAGTAAAAATATTTGGCAACATAAGTAGCTCGAGAACAACGTAATATGAGTACTGTAATACTTATTCTTTCATAACACAGCCAAGTGGTATCAGAAATAAGAATAATTTAGCATTACGTTGCTATCCAGCTACTTACGTCGCCAAATACTTTTATTTGACATCAATTCTCTTATTGTAATTGTTCGAGCAATTTTGATATAAGTAGTTCGATAACAACGTAATATGAGTATTATAATACTTATTCTTTCATAACAAAGCCAAGTGGTATCAGAAATAATGAATGATTTGGTATTACAGATATTACAATATTTTAATTTGACATCAGTTCTCTTATTGTAATTGTTCGAGCAATTTCGAAGCTTCGGTGACAACCGTGGCAGTCAACGTGTCACTCGTCGTCCGACAGTGGCGTGAGTCGGTGTACCGTCAGGCTTGCAGGAGAAAAGGATCGACGGTGGTCGGACTGGTAAAGAAATGGTGTAGCCATCGATCCCGCGAGTAGCGTCACGGTAATCGATATATACGTGTGCAGTCGGACTCGCGCAGGGTCGAACTACTTCGACGCCGCGCGGCAATGAATGGAGGGAACTGATCCTCCGAGCGGAACGGTGCCACGGTTGCTCGCTACGAGTCCTTCGGCTTAATCCTGACGCCTTTTGTCCTCGTCCTGTGAATCGTCGGTCTCCCACTTTTCACTGAAAACTGTCTGTCTCGTTCTCTTTCTCTCTCTTCTCATGTTTCCTACCCTTTTACTCTCTCTGCTCATTCTGTACCCTCTATTTTCATATCCTCCCACGCTTTCTTCTCTTTTTATTCCTCTTCTCATTCGTTTTCCACTGTCTCCCTCTCTTCTAACCCTTTCTTCTCTCTCTCTTCGCTCTCGTTTCCGTTTTTTCGTCCTTTCTACCACTGTACTCTTACTTTCCTTTACTTTATTTTCTCCTTTCTTTCATTCTATTTTCTATTTATTCTCATGTT